GATCCTTTTACCTAATACCTCTTCAATGTGTGACATAACCACTGGCATTGCCATTGATCTTAAAAGAATAAGAGGCAGTAGAGATACAAATAATGACCAGCTTCATGAAATCTCTATGAAATCCCATCTGGAGCATAATCTTTTTCAGACAAGGCCACTCAACTCGGTTAAATGCCTTCGTTAAGTCTAATTTTAGGGCCATAAAAAAATTTTGACCAGAGAAGTGCTTGTTCAAAAAGTGGAATGCTTCTTGTGCAATTATGACGTTGTCATTGAGCTGCCTCCCTTCAACAAAAGCTGATTGGAAATCACTTGTGCAGAAATTCAAGCAAGCCTTAAGTCTTTGTGCTAGAATTTTTTAGATTATTTTATACACAACACTGCACAGACTAATTGGTCTAAAACGGGCCAAAGTTTCTGGATTTAGACATTTAGGTATAAGATATATGACAGTATGATTTCAATATTTAAGAATCATACCTGATTGAAAAAAACTTATTATAGCTTCCATAAGATCCTGCTTGATTAATTCCCAGAAATGCTGGTAAAAGACTGCACTAATTCCTTCCTCTCCAGGTGCTTTATCTGGTTGCAAACTAAATAGGGCGGCCCTTACTTCTTGTTCATCTGCTGGCTTGAGTAAAGCTTCATTCATATCAGAGGTAATTGTTTGGGGATAAGATGAAGAATAGAGTCTCCTCCCTAGCAGCCCTCTGATGAGAAAAGTCTGAAATAATAGTCAGCAATATGCTTCTTAATATCCTTATGAGTTGAAAATATTCTGCATTGGGGTGAAATCAACCTTGTAATTGCATTGTGTCATCTTCTTTGGAGAGTGAAGGCATGAAAAAAAAAACGGATATTTGCATCCCCTTCCTTTAACCATCTAAGTCTGGCCTTTTGCTGCCAAAAGAGCTCTTCTTGCAAATGAGCTTTATTCAACTCTCTTCTGGTTTTGTCCCAAGATTCCCAATTGATGTCAGATTTGTCCGTATTTAAAGATTTCAACTTGTGAGTAAGTTCAACAATCAATGTTTGGTTCTGAGTCTGGAATGATGAACTCTAGATGAGGAGGGCAACTCTGGTTAGCTTAATTTTTTCTTTCAGCTGAACGAAAGGAGTTCCTGTGATTTTTGTGGACCAAGCCTGTTGGACAACCTCCTTCAAACCTGCTTTGCCAATCCATCTCCTGTCAAAATAAAAACTGGACTGTTTTCTTTACCTTGGTAGTCTCATATCAAGAAGCAAAGTTGAGTGAGATGAGGAACTTCTAATAATATTGGTGAAAAGAGCATTTGGATAATTCTGAAGCCAAGCACTTGATCCAAAGGCTCTATCTAGCTGTTCTTCCACAAGCTCATTATTAACTCTATTGTTGCACCATGTGAAAGGGTAGCCATCCATCTTGATTTCCTCCATTTCCATCAAGTTAATGAAAGAGTTAAAACCTTGAAAACTGATAGGACTTCTGAGAACACCACCTGATTTATCATTGTTGGAGCATAGATCATTCCAATCTCCTATGGAGAACCAGTTACTGCCCCACTGTGATTATCAATAAGAAATTCCTCCCACTGAACAGTTCTGATAGTTCTGCAAGGACTAAAATATACAAAGATTCCCCACTGAGGAAGTTGAGAGGGAAGAAGAAATTCAACTACCATGTAAAAATCCTTACAAAAAGTCTGCTTAATTACAATATGAGAATCCCAAAACGAAACAAGGCCTCCACTGAGGCCTTTAGGATCAACAATCATATTTCTGTCATCAAAACCTAACTTCCTGCTAATAGACTTAACAAAAGATTTTTGCTTTTTTGTTTCTGAGAGAAAAAGAAAATGTGGGTGATGAGTTTTGATTAACTCTTGCATTTGGGAAGTTGTAGAGGGCCCACCCAACCCTTTACAATTCCATACCACAGCTAACATTTGTCACTGTGGTGCCATTCAAGGCTGGCAACCCCCACCTGTTCAGCATTATGTTTCAATTTTTTGGTATCACCTGATTGGATGGCTTGGTCTGTCTATTGTGCTTCAGGAGAATCAGTTGCTGACCTTACTCTCTTTTCTCTAGGTACTTGTGCACAACTGATAGAAGGAATAGGCTCTCTTTGCAATATACCCATATTGGTGCTGGATCTTCTCCAGGTTTTAAGAGTTGTTTTTGGAACAGTCTTGGAGTAACTAGTAGTGGTAGTGTAAACCAAAGGGCCAGAGGGTTCCACTATTTCCATTTCCATAGCTTTAGATGACTCCACTATTTGCAAGCTGGATTCTGCCAATGTGTCTACTAGAGTAGGTTTGTGTGTAGCTGATGACAGGGAGGTAGGTGATTGCAGTTTAGAAATAGGGGTTGATTCTACTAGAATTTGGACAATTTGGTTGCTCTTCTCAGCTTGGCTAGATGATGTTTGTTGAGGGGTTCTTTGTTCTGCGACTGTTGGAGAGTCTAGTTGTGGAGAGTTTCTAGAGCCTGAAAGGCTAACTGTAACCAATTTCTGACCATCAAGGGCTTTGAGCGAATCACCAAACTGGCCCTCCTTGACAGATTTATTTCTGATATCATCTTGTCTCTTAGAACATCTTCTATCCAATTGTCCAATCTTTCCACAGTAATGGAAAAGATTCAAGAGTTTTTCATTGAAGCTGACCTTCACAGTTTGATCCCCTAGTCTCACATTTGCCCCTCTGGGAATGGGCTCTTCCAAGTTTAGAGTAACTAATAGCCTTAAAATTTTGCCTCCATGTTTTCCAGAACTAGCTATGACAACTTTCTGAAGTCTTTTAAAAACTGAAGCAATCTTAATACCAACTTCCGTGCTTAATCAATTAAGGGGGATATTAGCTACTTGTACCCACAAATTAAGCTCATTGAAATAGGGATGCTTACAAGAGAGGTTGTATGTCCATTCCTTAAGCACCAGATACTGATTTTCAAAACTACATTATTGACTGACGAGTTGCATTTTTGTGTTAGTGAAATTGTACCTTAACATAATAAATGCACGGTCATGTTAATTAGATTAATAATATAAAATACTAAATACAAAAATTATAAATACTAAATATGTTCTTTCGATATAAAAACATTGATAAATGCAAAAAATAATGATAATTGAAATACACATTATTGAAGTTTATAAATTTGAAACACATAAAAAATATTCGATCGGTCGATTGCACAATAATGTTAGACGAATTGCACATTATTGTCTTCTCGATTGCACTTTATAGAATTTGATTTTTTTATATTATATTTTCAAATATAAATATTATAAATTATTAAATAAAAATATTAAAATATAAAATGTATTTTATAATATACTATAAAAATATTTTGTAATAATAAATAAATTATAATAAAAATAATAATTAAAAAGCTATTTTAGTTATTTAGGTTAATTAAATGTACAATTATACACATAATTTATACATAATTTATATGGGAATGTATAAATTAGGCACTGCACTTTATATAACGGAATATCGCACTGTATAAAACAATATGCTGCACTTTATCACCTCATCTATAAAAAAACATAAAATTGCTAACGTCCCAAAATTAATACGTTGTACTTTATACAGTAATACGTTGTACCTTATAACACAACATGATACACCGTATAAAGTCGTGCACGATATTGTTAATATTTGATAAGCTGTATACCAACACTGCTAAAGTCGTTCACGATATTGTTAGATAAAATGCACATTAATGTCTCACATATTGCACGCTATAGCAATCAACTAATCAAAATAAAATTTTCGGATCGAAATTTATATGTCGGTCCGATTATCACTTTATATTTTAAAATTTTAGTTATTACGGTTCAATATCAACTTTATTTATTTAAATTTACTTATGAATATCTTATATCTATTAAATTTTAATAATCTAGTATAAAATATTTAAATTATTAATTAATTTATATTGTAATTAGAGTTTTTTAAAAATAGAAAATAACTCCCAATAATTAACATACTTGCAATTAAATACCCACCCAAAAGTCATTCCATCCGCAATTTGCATTTTCATCCTCATCACATTCAGTCCCACACAAAAATTGGCCGCACCTCCCTTCTACTTTCAAATCGCCGCCGCCAGATCGATTGTCCGTTTGACGGAGGTGCTTGATTCAGCCGATGGAGCGTGATTGCCGGAGGTGCTCTATTCAGCGAAAATTGGACATCTGAATTTGACCGGCGACACACGGAGAGGAGATGGATGGCGCGGACAGTATCGACGACGAAGATTGACGACGATGCTGGTGTTGACTGGAGCGGCTAGACGTCGGTGGTGGATAATTGCAGACGGTGGGTGTGCGGCGGCTGGCCTGTTCGCGTTGTGGCTAGGGCTGGTGGTTGTTGGTTTCGATGACGAGACCGGTGGTGTTTCGAGTCAGTGTCTGGGATGGTGGTGGTTGGTGGCTGCACTGGTGGTGGTCGGAGCGGCTAGATGTCAGGGTTGGAGAATTGCACACGGTAGCTGTGCGGCGGCGGCGACCTCGCTGCTCGACGGCGGACTGGTTTTGTACGGTGGCGATGGCTGCGCGGCGATGCTCTGGTGGCCGGAAGGTGGGCGTGAACGGATGGATGTTGGCGGAAGGCGGGGACGATGTGGTGGTCGGACAGCCGGACTGTGTGCGTTCTGTTTCAGATCCGTGAAAATGGAGAAAGAGATGTTAAGGAGAGAGAAAAATGAGTGGTGAATTAATTTAATGAGTGGGTCCCACTTGATATGTTTATTTACTATATTACCCTTAATTATTGGTTAAATACACATATTTGACCACAACATGGTCAATAATTACCATATTGCAATTAATGATTGACCATAGTTTGACTTGATCAAGACCATTGATATGTTGGATCCAATGATCCAAACTCATTCTCATTTCTCGTATTTAGAGTCATTCTCATATGATCATTTATATATATATATATTGTAACTTGTTATAAGAACACTCCCCTATAGCTATAGGAGGGACTGCAATCACTTCCCTATAGTAGGGGAGTGATAGGGCCTAAATAGGCCCCCTGGGGCGAAAGGTTTCGAACCTTCGACTGTAAGGGACTAAAGCCCGCCGTCTTACCACTCGGCCACGCCCCAGTGGAATTGTTAATTCTACAAATAACAGTAGAGCGGGTGTTACCCGGATTCGGAAAATGAGCTAACAGAGAGAGCGTCAGGACGAGGTAACGAGCCATTGACGAGAGAGTTTTGTGCAAGCAGTTTCTGACAATGAGTAAAGAGCATCTATCGCTGAGGTGGGGGCGCGGCGAAAAAGCTGGACAACCTGTCACTTCTAAACCAGCTAGGAAAAAGAGTGAATCATATACTGGCCTCTCTTCTACTAATATAAGTGGATACTCGGACTAACCTGTCCTTAACGGGATGGTAGTCATATACGATCTTTAAAATAAAATAATAATAGTAGTTATCAAAATAAAATAAATTAATAATAGTTACTAAAAAACAATTGTGAGAAATTTATCTCGTATGATTTATAAATATAATATTAAGAAATATTTTACATAACATTCCGTAAATAATTATTTGGGTATATATTTTTCATATAAAATTAAAAATAATGCTGAAAATGATTTGAAAAACGAAACTAAACATCTATTACAAATTTCGAGTACACAAAATTAAAATAACACACTTACAAGTATTTTTTAAACAACTAGGTAACTTACTGACTTCAAAATAAAAATTAATTCGCACAACATATATTCTTATAAATTTAGAAAATGAGCATAACTAAACATAATGTTAAATTACTATGAGTAAATTAACAATACGATGTTAAATATTATTTTCATATTATTCATAAAAAAGGAAAAAAAAAAAAAAAACTTTTTTCCATCCGAACTATGACGATTTTGGCGCATCACCATATAATTTTTTTTCTTTAACAAACCACCATCTGAACTATACGAGTTTTTTAAATTGCCCTATAAATCGGATAAAAAAGTAGTTTTGACCAAAAAAAAGCTGATTTATGAGGGAATTTCGAAAATTTCATATATTTTTCAAAAAACAAAAAAAAGAAAAATGAAAAGAATAAAGAAAGAAAACAACAGTAGCGACGGGCTCCTATCTGGAGGCTGCACATGCTGTAGCCATCGACGGTGGCAGCGGGGGGCTTCGATAGGCAGGACGTCTTGAGTTGTCGTTGACCAGTGAGTCATCGTAACTCGTTCCCGTCGACCTAATCTCGTCCATCTGCTCATCTTCTTTATCTTCAAATTGCATGGTTCTTATTTTCTCCTATTTTTTATTTTGATTAATTTTTTTATTTTAAACCCAAACAACTTAATTATGCAGTATTAAGGTATATATAAAGGGTTAAATGGTTTAGATGGCGGTATTTGGTTGGGAAATGCATGTTGAACTTACATGAATTTTCATGAACGCCCTCGTCATTTTGTACTACTATAAAAATGTTTGTGATGATAATGTTTGTTTTCTTCTAAGCATTTTAATTTATATCAGTTTATTAGATATAGATAAATCGCCTTTAGTTGCGTTCTGTAAAATACTTCAATAATAATAATTAGATTTTAAATTTATTTATACAAAATCAGCCCTTTCTTGTAAATATGAGAAATCAGCTCCCTCAACGGCAGCTCCTTTATGCTCCACCGGCGGGGATGAACTCGTCGACAGTTACGTGGTCGCTGATGTCATCACCGGCAACGTAGGAACCCATGTTTCCTTTCTTATTTTTTTAATTTTTCTTTTTCATTTTGAAAAATATATGAAGATACTTAAATATCTTCATAAATCAGTTTTTTTTAATAAAATTCACTTTTTTATCCAGTTTATAAGGCAATTTAAAAAACCCATATAGTTTAGGTGGTGATTTTTTTTTTAAAAAAAATATATATATAGTGATGCGCCAAAATCGTCATAATTGAAATGGAAAAAAGTTTTTTACCCAGTATAAAAACTTTGTTGGTGGTGGACCTTAGTTAACAAAATAGATTTATTGAAATGTTCAAAGAGAAGACTCCAAGTGGTCTATTTTGTAGACCCATACGAACATGATTTTGTAACACATGTTCAAAAGGTTGCAATTTTGTATTTGTTTATTTGAAGTTATCTATTCGTAAGAATATTTCCAAAAATAAAAAGAAAAATTGTAATTAATCAAAGTATAGACACGATATTTAAGGAAAAAAGTAAATAAAAGAAAAGAAGAAGGAAAATAAGAAAGAAAGAAAGAAAAAAATTATTTAAAGTTGTCTATTCGTAAGAATATTTCCAAAATCAAAAGAAAAATTGTAATTAATCAAAGTATAGACACGATATTTAAGGAAAAAAGTAAATAAAAGAAATAGAAGAAGAAGAATAAGAAAGAAAACAAAAAAAGGAAAGAAATAGTTGAGCGTGACCTATACAATTAAATTATTGATGGAAATATGGCGTCAATTTAATTCGGATATAAACTGATATATGATAATCATACTAGGTCGACTGAACCAAAAAGACAATCGAGCTGAATCGGAGCCGCCACCAAGTCGAACGTGAAGAGTACCAGTAGGTCGAGTGGAAGCCATTAGAAGGCCCCGCGGAGGCTCGACTTGATGGGTCCCCTAGTCGAAAGCTCGACTAGATGGATGTAGTAGCGGAGCTTGATATCCACAATACTCCTCCTCGAGATAATTAGGATCAGATATACGGTTAGACCGTCTAATGAAGAAGATCAAAGGATAAGAAAGACTTGTTGCAATTAATGTGATACATGGGCTAGGACACACGACACTGTTGGATTTAGTCTATCCTCATAACCGTCTGAGGTAGTAAGCAGGGGCGGAGCCAGGATTAGAAATCTACCCGGGCTAAAATTATTTAACCAAAAATAAAATAATAACTCAAAATATCAAATAATACATTGTTTTTAGTGTATTTACTATTGTAAAAAGTTAACTAGATTTGAAATATTTAAATAAAAAATTTGTTGGACGTTTTATTGTGATTCAACATATATTGAAAAATGTGTTTTAAGTTTGCAAAATAAGATATCAAAATTTATAAATTGGATTTTAAAAGTTGTTTAAGTTTCTTATAATAAATAAGTAAAGTTTACACATGCAAAACAAGACCACTTTAATTTGAGATTTTCATTATTTAAGATTTTCTTTTTAACAAAAAGAAACTCTCATTTTACCCATTGGACTCATGATAATTTGAGGGGCTTATGTTTTTGTTTATAACTTTTTTTTTTTTACTTCCACTATAACAGTTATAGGAAAAGTTATATTGGCTATCTAAAGCCCACCAGGGCTAAAGTCCGGGGGGCAACGCATCACATGCCTCCGCCCCAGGGGCGAAACCAGGAAATTAATTGACAGGGGGCAAAAAGACATCGCAAAAAATTTAGGGGTGCAAAACATAATTTAAGAGGGGGCAAATTAATTTTTTTTAATTATAATAGTAAAAAAATTTAAAGAAAATTAGATTTTTTAATTATAATAGTAAAAAAAATTAAAATTTGAGGGGGGGCAATTGCCCCCCCTAATATATAGGTAGTTTCGCCCCTGCTCCGCCTTTGGTAGTAAGGTCAGGTGGGGCAGCCAACTCATTATATCCGGGCAACCTTCTAGAAGCAGGTAATTTACTCCTATAAATAGAAATGGAATGTACATTTATAGGGTTACATTCTCCATTATACACTCTCATACTGCACTTCATCTTCTACTTCGAAGGCTCTTCATCAGAAAATTCCCCTCCGATGTAAGAATTCTGCAAGTTCGAGGACGTTAAACCGGCGATCGAGCTTTGGATCCAGTCATTGCTAGTCGTTTCTAGCCAGTCGGAGGTCTTTGTTATACCATAAACAGTATTGAAAAAAGTGTCATATCTAATCTCACAACATTTATACGTACATACTATAATTTTTTTTCTTTTTTTTAAAAAAAAAAGATTAAATAAACATAGCATTATTGTATCTCGCCAAGTACTAAAGATGTCAAATTTTGATGACTAAAGCTAGACCAACTCAAGCTTGCTAATGGGATGATTACATGGATCTCCAGACCTAATGCTTTGAGATGCAAAATGGCATGGTTCAAATGTTTCGACCTAAATAATGATTGGAGTATTGCGTTTTTCCCCAGTTGAATAAACACATAAATATTCATATAAGTGTGTTGATTTAATGATAAACAAATAAAAAAGAAATATAAATATAATGTGCGGGGTTATCCTTTTTTTTTAACAAAGAGAAATCCTGAAGGATGGGTAAAGCAGGATCCCTAACTTGTATATAGTCAAAATCTTAAAAGGACTAAGGTGCACTACTCCATGCCCGACACTCGCTGCGAAATTGCTTTGACGACCCGCGAAATGCACCAAGCTGCACTACTCCATGCCCACACTCTCTGCGAAACCGGTTTCGAAACCCGCGAACTACATAATTTTAGTAAATGTGTGTGTTTTTAGTGTGTATTTGTGGTGTTCCTATATATAGACATTGTGGTTTGTATTTTTGGAGACAACCCCTCATTTCCCAACTTTTAAGTTAAAAATCCTCTCCATTTTCTCTCTGTTCTTTTTATGTTTTGGTTTGGAGGTTCTCTTTGTCCATGAGTCCTCTTTGTTCAGCGAGACACGCGCCTCACACCACCTTCTGCCCCGGTGCGTTTGCGAGCCGAAAATGGTTCCGCGCTCTGCGAAAGCCTGCTCGCCCGCGACTTCATTTCTGCACCCAGCGAGAAACGGTTTGCGGGTCGTGAAACACGCCTTGCCCGTAAGTCCCTAGTCCCCATGCAGCCCATCTTCTTCCCCAAGCTACCGGCACCGCCGCCCGCCACTGTGCACCGTCGTGCGCCGCCGCCGCCTCCGGCCAACCATCTCCGATCATGACGAATCTTATATCAACAAGAAGCTCTATTCGATGCCAACAAAATATTCGAGTTTCAAGAAAAAGTTCCGGCGGGAAGGCTTCCAATTTCCGGCCAAAGCTTGTAGACCTACACATATCCTTCAACCTTCAAATTCAAATTCCCGGTGACTCACTTGGAATTATCAAAATCCAAAGGCACTCCCGGACTCCTCTCGCCGAGGCGCACCTTTTTCCGGCCACCGTCGCCAGATCCAATGATCATTTTTTTCGACGATTGAGCAACCACCGAGCTTCCGGTTAGTTATTTTTTAGCTTTTCATGTTCCCTACCATTGTTTTTTTGTGTTTGGTACATTTTTCGGCGACCGGAGCTCCAAACTTCATTATCTCTCTCTTTACGAACTCCGGCAACCGTTTTCTCGGCAATTTCCAAGGTACGACGGTTTGAACTATCTTTGTAATTCAATTTTTGTCGAGTATGGATTACTACTCTTGTCGGAGTAGCCGTGGTGGGTGATTGGAGTTGGACTTGTGTGTGATAGGCACGTCTTGCCAGGCGTGCCAACTATTGTGTAGTTGTTGTCGGGTGTTTTAAATTGTAGGTTGCTATGTACGGCAAGTGCCGGTAATTGATTCGTTTTGATGGACCAAAGAGGAGTTGGCCGTGTCATGTTATGGCGAGTATCATTGAGGGCCTCGAGGACCGGTTTTTTTATCTTTCACGCATATGTGTGCTTCGTCGAGTTTGTGGATTCACGAGTATTATCCCTTTGGGACGCATACATGTGGCCATTACTCGGAGCCGAGTGACGAGATTCTTTTGTTCTCTTATGCTTTCATATGTCATAGTGCCTAGGTAGCTTATAGAGTTTCACATGTTCAATGTACAACCGTTCGGATGGTTTTGTTTTTTAGCTCAAGGACCTTCGGATCATTTGCTCTATTCCCACCGGACGAACACCATTGGACACACAGTGGTGCACCATCGTGTTGAGTACTCATTTTTTTTTCTTATTTTCTTTTTCTCTTGTTTCTTTGCTTGTGTTTGTGCTTATCTACCTTTGATTATAGTTCGTCTATTGTGTTTCGTTTTGTTTTCTGCATGAGCTTGTTATGATTATGTGCTTTTTCCTATGCTTTTTGGTTAAGCAATGAGGATATTGTTTTGTTCTAAATGTGAGGGAGGAATTTTCGTGATTATGCATGTTTAGGCGGTATTTCTTTCGTTTTTGGTACTTTATTTTTTGTATTTGTCATGTCTTGGACCGATTTTTGTTGTTATTTCTGTGTGTTTGTGTCACCTCTCCCACATGATGCTCAATGTTTATTCGAAAGTCAAGATAGCTAAGTGGTAAGTCGAGATTGTTGATTGGTATCATTATTAACGCTCATGCTTTATGTACTTA